TTACTGGCAACAGCGAGTGCTGTTGTCGTTAGGAGATCGCACTTTGCAATGCTGTTGTTCTAAATGTGTAGTTCAACTTTAGTTAGTAATTCCAATTAAAACTGACTATTTCTACTCTGCTATTAGTTTTCCTTTTTAGTTCTAAAAGCACTTTCTCAAAAAGCAGATTGTTAGTTTATGTTTATAAAAATAATCCGATTTAGCCTTGATTTAGGGCATCTCTATAGATGGTGAAAGGGGGCAGCTGGATAACATTCCTGTGGTAACCTTGTTTGGAGATTATAATTTTTTTGAAAAAGCATTTCGGTAATAAACTCTGCAAGTTGTTTTGTCAAGGAATTCGTGAATCTGGCCATGTATATTAGCTTCAACATCAATTCTTGCTAGCTTCTTTAAAATTTAATAACCTGGGGAAAGATTTAAAATCCACATACATTGCATTCATTTCTAATCCTGCCCATAGAGTACCATATATACCAGCATATAAGTCGATCCCCCGACTTTTGAGGAAAAATTTGAGAAAAAATTTGTTACATAAGCGGCGTCGCTGCCACCAATGAAACCACTATCAGTATTCAGCCGTCTTAACCACTCGTAGGACAAATCGAAAGAAACTTCTTGTAATATCATGTAATCAAACATTAACCATGTGTTGTATGGCAGGATTCCTTTCTCAAGTACAGAGGAAGGGAATACTTAATCTATTTTTTTTAAGTGTTTGGTCATGGTATATTCATTATATGCATTTTCCGTAATTCATATACAATACAAATATTTCTATTATGAGTGTCTTTTTTTTTTTTTTTTTAATTTTAAGTGTTTTACTTGTTGATATTCTCAAAATTGTATCTGATAATTAGTATAATAGGTATAAATACAATAGACGAACATAATAGATTAGGGATGGCCAAACTTTATGTCAGTGAGAACCACAACAGCGTATTTACATCATTCTAAAATAGGTGAAGTAGGTTTCAGTCAGCAAGAAATGTCGATTCCAAACAATTATTCAGTGACAGTCTTAGTTCAATAAGAGCCATGTGCCTGTAATAAATTAATGAATGCATGACTTTTAATACATAAATCCATAAACAGTTTTTCAATGTTATTTTTTATCAATTTACTTGTAAACAGTTTAAAGCATTTTATGTTGAAACAACTGCCTGTCTTTTTCATAGTATATTTGACAGTGCCAATAATTTTCAGTATTGAAATTCTATTCAGTAGCATTGTTAATAAAACTAAAAAATTGTACCTTTTATTGCTTTTGAAGAGTCATTTGCATTTGGATTGATTACACAAGTAGTGGTTTGCTAATTTTGATGACTTTAAATCCATAAAACTATTGTCATTTTAGTGAGTCAATATTATTTTTTGTTTCAATTTAATCATCTAATTGTGTGTCACACCTGAAATCATCTTCTCAAAGGTTATTGTTCGAAAAGTATTAAGAATATATTATCTGGTTAAATTTTGAGCCATAAATATTGTTTTTCTCGTAATTTTAGATGACAATAACTAATAATAAAAATAAAAACATTACTTAATTAATTATTTAAAATGCATATTTTGGCGGCCCATGAAGTCAAAATATTTTAGGGTTTGGAAACCTCATGGTTCTGCGTCACCGAAAATATCCTTTATTATATAAAAACATTTCTATCTATTTATTGTTATAAGTCCATAAACAATAACGTGAAAATAGGAAAAAATAATAATAAATAAGTGGAGAATAATTTAAATCAAATTCGAACAACGATGGTGATAATTCAACAAAATGAATGTAAGTGGAATGGTTGCAACCTTTGAACCTTGAACTATTATCGCCAAAGTTGGCGATGTTTACATTTATCAGGTTCTTTGCGAAAGTGCTTCCAAATTATTATATACATTATTGCAATAACTTATTATATGCATTAAATTATTATTACATATATAAACTGATTATATTATTGATTGTATTATATGTATAATACAGCATCGGGGTTTGCCGATTTCGCCTCATGCAAAGATTTCCGGTTTCAGATTCCGGTGTTAGAATCACTGTTGCTGTAAAATTTCAACAGCTTTTCTTTATTTTTCCATGTATCATACACAATCGTGTCTCAATTCCATACGATTCTGCTATAAACCGAGGAGTAGCACCTGCCTCCATCTTTTGCAAAATTTGCACTTTTTGCATTACCGTCAATGCAACGTGTTTACGTTTTCAACGTTGCAAGCAGTAAAATCATGAGTGCGTTTCTTATCTGTAATTGTATTAAAAAGGGCTGAAATTAAAAATATTCTTAATTTATCCACAAAATATCCAGATTAAAAAAGGCAGCACTAAATAATCTCGTGAAATAACGAAGCTCAGAAAATACACAACAACGTGAATTGTGAACTTGAAAGAAGAGTTAAGTGAATCGTCTGCTTTTTCACCTCGATACAGATTAGAGGGGGAAAATGTTTTATCATGATGTCAATAATTTGGTATTTCCATTATGACTCATTATTATTTGGTAATTATGATGTCATTATTCACTAAGTATTTTTTCTTCAATATTTCATACTCAATGTTGCGGTTTCCGGAACCTGTAAAGGTTTATATTTTGAGAGGCAACGTGGATTCCAGGATTTGGCGGATTTCAGCTCGGCGGATTTTCGGTATTTGACTGTACTATCTTTTTCTGCAGAGCAGGTAACCTGTCCAAGTCCTAAACTTAATCGATTAATAAAAGTATATATACGTCCTTCCAAACTGCTATCATTTGCTTTGTGCTGCTACACCTAAAATTATTCGCAAAGTTAACGCATCGCCTGCGCATCTGGGGCAGTTAACGCATCGGCTGAGCAAGGCGTATATATACGCCCGCGGCAGTTAAGGGATTAAGATGTACTAAAAGCATTGGCTGTATTACTGTCAGTATAGATATTCTTATATTATTTGTAAAACTAATTGGTTACTTTTTGCGAGTTTCATCTTGAATAGTTGTTAGGAATTAACTGATTTTCAAATTTAATTAAGAAATTAATATATTCTATAATCATTCAAATAATTACATTTTCCCATTTAAACTAATATTTTATTTAAAGCAGACTACTTTGTCCAGACTGTCCAGAAATCATGTTTGTTGATTGTTAAACAAAAAGGAGTCCATATTATTTAATTTATTCCACAGGACTATTCATTTTTGTGGAAAATGTGATTTACCAAAGTAATTGATAAGTACAGTAATTTCGCACGTATAGTCCGCACCATCGTATAGTCCGCAGACACGATTTTATATAAAAAAAGAATTTAAAAATTGTCAGATAGTCCGCACCACCGGATAGTCCGCAGACTATACGTCCGAAATTACGTTTTTTTAATACGGCAATATTCCCATGCTTTTTAAACACATCCTTTTGTTTGCGCAAATTTCTCACCGCTTTCTTGTCCACTTCAAAATAACGGAGTAAAATCCTAGTATACGGTGCAGCCTTGGCGCAACTTTGAAAATTATCGCCAACACCAAAAATGATCCAAAGAACGTCTATATATATACTATACACGCATAGTATATATACTATATACTATGTTTAACTATATATTTTCTTTGAATGACCCGTTAACTACTCATCGTATATGTCCCGTTTTTACTGCTCATCATCAAGTCGCCAAAAGTAGTCAAATCCCGTGTGCATCTTATACTAGGATTAAACCAATAACGGCCCGCTTCTCTAATTCCATCTTTTTCAGTTTTCTCAACTACCTCTCAGCAGTAAATCTCCGGCGATGTTTCATCAACGTTAGCGAAGACGAAAGACAAAATATGAAAACAAAATACTGTGCAACGTGCTATCCTCGTGATAAGTGGCAATGAAATGTGACCTTCGACCCCACTCACTCGGTGTTGCCAAACCACGCTATAAGTAAACGAATCACGCTTTTTTTTTCATACTCCAGGTACTTGCTACTATGGCTCCTAAAAACCGAGTTGACGCATCGACTACTTTTCCCCCTCCCGGCAGTTGTGCTAAAGCAGTGCGAAGGATACTTGGAATCTCACGCTTTTTTTATATTTGATCATCGGCAGTTCACGAGAGCGTGTTTTTTTAAATTTCAACAATTTTTAACCGTGAACAACCAGCGTATTATCCGCACTGGTGGATAGTCCGCAGCTTCAAAAATTCGCATTTTAAACACAGATAGTCCGCGGACAATACGCGCGAAATTACGGTAAATCTAAATGCTATTGAAAAATCTAAACTTATGTTGGAAAGTTCTCATTTGATTTTGCAACATGCAGAGGCTGCTGTATTGGATTCAGTTGTAAAGTAGACTAACATTCTTTCAGTGTTAACTGAAAACGAGACATCCGGTAGTCTTAATCTTGCCCAAATGTAGACTGAGATAGTACATCTATTTGAACAAAATCAAGTTGTTCTAATGCAAAAAACTCTTTTGGCGGGATGGATATTTATGTTTTATGACTTCTCTAAATGAAATATCAAGTAAATCATTTTACTTTCAGCTGTTTTCTAAACTTAAAAAGAGGGAGATTTTTGAAGGACCCTTGTGTAAATCATGGTTTTGTTTTTTAGATAACATACAATGGCATGCTTTATTACCTGAAAACCAATTTTAGCATATGAAAGTTGAAAGCCATATTTGGTTTATATTATTAATTGATTCCCATTTTAATCAATTTCATTTTAATAAGGTCGGTATAATAAGGTTAATATGTTTGTCTGTCAACCTCAAATGTGTAACAGAGCATGCATAAAAAGTCTCAAGTCAAGTTTGAATGTGCTGAACTGTATTATTTATTAATGCATAAATTGTTAGACATACATTCTTAATTTAAGGCCCTATATGAAACTTCCATCAAAATTAAAGCAAGATGTAAAAAAAGAAATTAAAACGTTTGCAAAAATGTCATTTTTTAAAGGGAAATGATATGTATAATTTAATGCACAATAAAATAAAATTATATAAATTTCAAAGTTGGAATGAAAGATAGTTTCTCATTTAGCTTTACGCATAAGCTCTTGTGATGATAAAAAGTGCTGTTCCATGGTCATCCATGCGCTTCAAGTCCGTCCTCAGATGAATTGCAAGGCTCAAGAGTATTTCAAATTTCTTCGCCTTGAGCCTAAAGAAGAGTATGTTTGTATGTTTCAAGTTAAAGTGAGTAACTTCCTTTATGAATTCTTTAAAAGTTTGTTTATTGTGGGCAAATGACTTATATTGATATGAAAATAAAATTTTGCAGTGATATATTATTTGGCTGACTGTTTATTATATATTGGCTAAAGTATACACAACTGAAAAATTATGTGCTGATTTTTTTTAAAAGTTATTTTAAAATTTCATGTTATTCTCATCATTGTAGTGTAGTTTTATTTTATTCTTTGTGTCAACTTTAGCGTATCTATGTGTGTGCGTGTGCATATCACAATTTTTTACCTATTTATAGCGAATTTTAAAATTAACTGGTTTTGTATTTCACTCCTTTTGGGTCTTAGTGGAAATGGTTCTAAATTTTTTACTTTTTGTCATATATATATATATATACAGAGAGAGAGAGAGACAGAATATGTAAATGAAAATTCTCTCCTGTGAAATGTGACATGAAATTTAGATAGCAAATGTGTACTATTGTGGAAATTGTTAATTACAATTTGTAAATAATTAAACTGGAATTACGAATTAATATTCAAAACTAAAGAATAAAACTAGAGAATTATTACTATTTTCCATAGAAAAATCCTGACTCTCAAGGGGAACTTCTTTATACAACCCTCAGCAATTCTTAAAAAGCATGTTTCATCATTTGGTATATCTGACCAAAATCCGAATTCCAGTTTTCAATTTCTGTTCAATTTTATAAAATCCAAATTAAAATCTTAAAAAGTTCAAATATGTGAAGTAATTCCTCAATGTGTGCATAAACAATTAATTACAGTTAATTTCAAAAATAAATATAGTAATCGTACATAACAATGCTTAAAACTAAAAAATGTGTACAAAAAAATGAAATAGAAATCAAATGCAAATGAAAAGAAAGAAATAAGCAAATATAAGTCATACAGGTAATTTTTACATGTAGGGCAAATTTGATTTTAAACCTTATTTACATTTTACTCTAAACAAAAGATATTTCATAGGAGATAATTTTCATTTATATATTCTTTAAATTAAATTTTATCTTTGTGGCAGTAGAGCAGGGTTTTACTTTTTAAGTCCCTTTTTAAATAAATTTTAAAGTTTTTCTGCTTTTTCTTTATAAATTATATATAGATAGATATATAACACTTAAAGTAAAAAATCAAAACGCACTTTTCAGAGGTAAAATTTAGTGCTACTGCAGCTAAGATTAATTAAATATTAGTTCAGAAAACATAGAATAAAAAGTATTGTAATTAAAAACTATGCAGTTTTTACTGACTCTTAACTTCTATATTATAAAGTTTTTAATCATAATAGTGATTGTTCTACATTTTCCAAAAGGGCAACCTCTCTATTATATATACAGTCAAAAGTCGTTAATCCGGACCTCAAAGCTACAAACTTTCTGCGACGCATGTGCGTAATACCTTTATGCATGCGCATTTGCGTTTAATGTATAATGGACCATATAAGCTAAGCTAAAATTATCTATTTCAATTAATGTTGCAGATTGCGTTGTTCCTTAATTTTCGAATTGGATCCGGCTTATTATTTTTTGCAGACTGTTAGAGCAATTTTATAAAAGTAAGCTTGAACTTTCAATTATGTCAAAAAGAATTTCCGATTCTAGAGCTGGCAAAGGATCTACAAAGCGAAAGCTTGTTTCGATGTCCATGAAACAAAAAAAGAAATCGCTGCAAAAATGGATTAAGGCGTATCCTTTGTTTCTCTAAGCATTCCGAAATCTGTTTATCAATTTCACACTGCTCTGCACGGGTGGGGGGGTGTCGCGGTGCCCAATGAATTGGAAGTTAATCTGTCAGCACTATCGTTATCTTCAGGGCAGATGTTTTTATTATATTCGGCTTATAATTCCTTACAAAGTGTAGTATTTCATCTCGATGTACTCCATTTTTGATATGATTTAAATCAAATTCCTCATCATTATAAATATCATGAATACAGATCAAATAGTTTTCTGGTTGCAATTTTCTAATTTCGACTATGCGTAATGTATGCTTTACGCATGCGCGCGTTGAAAGAAATGTTTAATAAAGTAAACAAATAAATATTCAGCTTTTTTTGTCCTTCTAAATTTTGATACCCTTTAGATCACAATTGCTCTTTATTTCATAAATTACAGTTTCATATTTTTAATTTTATAATTTCTGCTTGCCATCTTACCAGATTTAAACTGATGATCTATAATCTCGAAAAATCGATAATCCGGAATCGCCGAAGTCCTGACGAGTCCGGATTAAAGACTTTTGACTGTATATATATTACTACTTTTCCAGCTGTTTTAATTTCTGTTTGATTTTTTAGTCATGAAATTTTTTGGGTATGCATAAACGTATGCATAAAATATAAAATTTTATATAGTAGAATAGATTCTTTGAAATTGTATAAATGTGAAATTTATATGGGTTGGATTTCTCAGGGAAAGAATTCTGAACTGAATTGAGATTGGGTTGGCAGGTTTTTCATTAATTATTTATCTATTGGCCGTACAAATAAGTCTCTGCCGTTTGAAAAAAAAATTGCATCACTAGTAAGTTATGATTAAATTGTCTGATGTAAAACACCATGTCATAAGGTTGGACATCTGCTTACAACATAACTTTGAAATATTAGTGATTTTGTATCAGGGTCTTATAATTTTTTAAGCAAAAATCTCAAGTTTTGAGATGAGTGAGCATCATTTGTGGGAAATTTTAATTCTTTAATTTGAAGAAATTGGCATTCAGGTCCATCGATTGCTTGTAGAAGCATACATTGAGGCTACCTTAAGTGAGAGAAGTTTTTGTGAGTGGTTCCAAAAATTTAAGAACAGTGAATATGATATCGAAGACAAAAAACAGAAAGGAAGTGTGCGAACACGTGAAATTGGAATCATTATTACATGAAGATTCATGCTAAACACAAGTAAACATTAGCACTTACATTACGAGTAACTCAACAAGTAATTTCACATCTTTTAAAATCATTTGGAATGATTCAAAAGCAAGGAAATTGATTTCCATATGAGCTGAAGCAGAGAAACATTGAATGCCAATTTTTTACATGTGAAATGCTGCTTGCTAGGCATAATTGAAAGGGTGTTTTTTGCTTCGTATAGTCATTGGTGATAAAACCCACTGCAATACCCCAAAGAAGATGGAGTAATGGTGTCCGTCTGCCCATGCTTCAACATCGACAGCCAAGCTGAATATTCATGTGAAAAAATTATATTGTATATATAGTGGAATCATCTTGCAGTTATGTATTATGAGTTGTTCAAACCAAACGATACCATTACCAGGGCTCTCTGCCCAATCCAATTGATGAGATTAAGCTGAGCACTCAAAAATATGCCCACTATTACTCCAGAAATGGCAAGATTATTCTCCTGCATGATAGTGCTCAGCCACTTGTTGCGGTGCTGGCAATAACCTACTCAGAAACACTCAAGTGAGAAGTTTGCCCTCTCTCACTGTATTCACCAGACATTGCTCCTTCTGATTCTTGGGTTGATGGATGATGCATGGCCTGTCTGAGCAGCACTTCACATCATATGCAAATACCAAAAATTGGGTTGATTTGTGAATAGCCTAAAAAAAATAAAGCATTCTTCCGAGGCGTTATCCTTATGCTGCCAGAAGGATAGGAAATAGTGGCTAGCAATGAACAATACTTTGAGTAAAACAAAGCGTACTGTTCTTTCACAATAAATGCCCAATTTTTAATAATAAAATCGTAGAGACTTTTTCTGCTCCCGATATGTCTGCTAACTTTTGTGAATTTTTTGTAATCTTTATGGAATTAGTTTTAGTTTTAAAATTTTATGGGAAAAATTACTTTTTAAAAAATATTGCAATTTTTTTATAAAGATGGCAAAAATTGGGCTATTTGATTGAGGCAAATGAATATTATAAGTGTGCCTTGGAAAAAATGTGTACGTTATCATTTAATTTCAAACAAGTATAGTAACATTATAACATTACTGTTAAAATAGTGAAGTTATTCCCACCTATTTTTTTTTTAAGAAACTGTCAGGTCATTAGAGGTGTTAAGGCAATAAGAATCAACATAATATTCTTAGATTTCCGGGATTAGTTTCAAAGGTTTAAACATAAACCTACTTCTTCAACTGCAGAAGTGCAAATGATGAAAGAGAAGCTTCTGTTCAACGAGAAGTAAGTCAAGCTACTGGTGCCGTTTATTGATGAAAAATGAAAACAACTGTGAAATAATTTCCTTTAACTGTTTTCATTTGAAGATATATTTTTGTAAATCTCAAAACAGTCAGAATTGATGCACATCTCAGTACCTACTTTGCATAAGAAAGTGATGCATTAGAGTCAGTATCAATAATAAGAACTATATTCAAATGTAGAAAAGTAGAAGTTTTGTCCTCCTCATAAAAATATTTTCCCAGTAAAATCTTTAAAAATGGTGAAGGTATTATTATGTAATTTAAAATCTGATTGGTTGCCATCAATACTAGCTTGTATTTTATCAGCATCCTATAATTATCATAGCTGTTATATCTTATAATTATCATAGTTGTTGTATCTTATAATTATCATAGTTGTAAAATAAAGAGGTACAAGTGATCTTCTGAGTCTTTAAAAAACTGAAAGGGCAACTGAGTGCACAATACTTTGTCACATCTACAGGCTGGTCATAAAAAAGCTTCCCTGATATATGAAACCCTAATGCCCTGTCTGCTCAACCAGTCAAAATTAGACTTCAGATATTATTATTTGAAGATATGTGCTTAAGATTGTGATGATTTAAAAGAGTGGAGCTCTCATGGTTATGGTCACAATGAAAGCAATTCAAAAGGTAATGCCCACTTTTTTCCCTGCACAAACTGATCAGCACCCTAAAAAATACCTTTTTGATGGCCAATACATCATTTATGATGAAAATTGCCTTCGTAAAATATTTGCAAAGAGCATTGTAAATAACTAGAGACAATGCAAGAGAGGATTAAAATAATGCTATTATTAGAATCACAGATTTTCAGTGTGCTTGTTGTTGCAGATGATAATGTATTACATGTGTGAGATTGTTGACAGTAATGACGAAAGTAACATAGCAAGAAGAATCTGTATAACTTCATGTTTTATAGCATCTTTCAATTCTGACAAATTTTACGGATTTGTCGTATACACCTAGATTTCAGAAAATCTCAGAACCAGAAACCTCTCAAAGTGCAGTTGGGGGATTATGGTAGCCACGAAACTGCAGATACAGGAGACGACTCTTATCTCTAATAACTGCAGAATAGAAGTGCTGTTGCAGTACTTGCGGAACACATGTGACAACTTGTGGAGGAATGCTATTTTGAATACGTAGAATGTCATGAAGGTCATTTTGCTGCTGCAGTTGGAATTACGTAATTCTGCAACATTGTTGTATACTGAGCACTTGTGTTGGAGCATGTTTCATACCTGTGGAAGTGACCTCTTCTGAGAAGTATTTACTGAGAACAAATGTGCTTGTGATGATACAATATGCAATCACTTTAGCTTCGTATAAAGGTGCTGGTGCTACATCATGAGGATTTTCATCAGCCCTGGGAATGCAATTCTAGGAATTTACATTCCCAGTTAAGGAGAAATGTACCTCATCTGCTTATAATATCTACAGGGGCCATATGCTACATTCATATCTGATGAGGAAAACATTATCAGTCTTTACTCTATTGCTCATCTCCAGGTTGCAGCATCTAGATGCACTGGAATCAATAAAGAAACATCTGCAGAACAGAGTGCAGAAGGAGTGTATACATCCCACCTGTGGGTAATGCTTCTTGCGGTATGAAAAGGACCTGCAGTATTATGTACTTGACAGCAATTTTAGCAGAAACACATGGTTGTGGTTTATCATGTGGGCTTCCTCTTAGCTTATGACTTTTCCAATAAACTCTCACTACTTCAGGAAAATTTTTCACATTCAGATCAGGAAGCTTTATCAATTTACCTCATTGTTTCCCTGTAAGTGTCATATCAATAAACTGAGAGTGTTAGCTTGTTCAAAGACTTGATTGATGAAACAGTCTTCCCACGCTGCTTACTAAAGGTTTTCCAAAAGTAACACTTTGCACATGGTGTTCTGTGATTGGTGATCTCTATGAATTATGCAAAATGTGTCAGTGCATTTTGTGTTGTAACTATCCTTTATAATGCGGTTGCTAATAATGTCTTATGCCAGCAGTTTGTCATACATGTATCGTTCCAACCCCATTTATAGGTTTTCAATGCTCTGATCGATTTGCACAGAAAAGTTATTGCCATTAAAAATTTCTTCAAACTTTTCAAGGTAATTGTGAGAGCTCTGTTTTTTAAATCATCACAATCTCAGGCAAATAGGCCGCTAGAGGCTCAAACATCAGAGAAGTTTTTTTTTTTTAATCACCCTGTATTTTTGTTATTCATACTGGGAAAATTAACCTGAAGGAATATTTAATTCATGCTATTCAGAAACAAATCTTGGTAATTTATTTTATCAGAATTCGCAATACTTTATACAGCTATAAAATTAGCTGTTGTTGGACAAACATGTTTGGAAACTGAGTAACTTGACTAGAGATATGTTTAGATAAATGCATTATTAAAAGAGTTATTTTAGACATCAGTATATTTCTCTTGAGTCTGGGTTATGTAGGTTTACTAGCAGTTATAAATTCTTCTGCTGTTTATTGTTATAAATTCATCTGAAAGGCTGATTACTGAATGCTCTTTTTGAAAGAAATTTTCAAAATGTTAAAAGAAACAGTTATCTGTTAGGATGGTCTAGAGCAGCAGTCATCAACCCTTAGAATTTCACGGACCACTACATGTATAATTTTAATATTTGGTGGACCACTAATATGAATTAAAAAAAGATAAATACATATATTCATTGAAACATTGAAAAATTACAAGAAAAGTACAAGAATCTCACCTTCTTGTACAGAAAGCTTCACATTTCCATATCACTGAAAAGGAACTTCATGAAAAGGAAGAACGAACTGGCAAACACAAAGCAATATCAATAAACTGAGAGTGTTATGCTGCCAGTTTTTAATTATTGTAAACATAATAATCATTGCTTACTCAGCAGTGACGCCATTCATCAGAAGTTAAACGAAACAAAAATGTAATTTTCCAGTGATGCAATTTTAAACAAAATGCAGGTATTTCTTATAAAAATCCATCAAGATGCCTATTGACAGCGAGAAATACTATGTTATTAATGACCACCATATGTCCGTAATTCAAAAGGAAAGAACAAAGTGCTATTATTGATAACAGCTGCATATCCATGGACGCCAACTCTCACTTTCAAATGTCGTTATATACACCTGCAAAAGTCGCTAAATTCAGAAGAAATTTTTCTAAAAGTAGTAGCTAGAATTAAAAAAAAAAACTATGTTCCATATCCTGAAATTGTTTTTGTTACTCATTATATTTTAAACTGAATCTTGATAAAAATATAAATAATGTCTCAAATTTTCTGTGGATCATCAAAAATTTTGTGCGGACCACCAGTTGGTGATCATTGGTCTACAGAATATGCAAAGGTTTAGCTAACTAAATAGTTAATATTCTGCTGCTTTGTAAAGAGTAATAAAGCATACTGATAGTATTTTTTACGGCAATAAAATAATAAAGTGTGCGGGTTTCTGCACACTTTATTAGCTGAGTTTCTTGTTGCTGTTGCCACTAAATGATCTACCATGAGCTGAGGCGCAGTAATGTTACTTCTCCTTTAAGCGAAATAAGCCACCTTTGAGCCTAAATAACAGTCTCCTGCAAGGGTTGTGTAACTCGAGGCCTGCCCGAAACATGTCTTCTAGATACAGAATTCTTGGATTCAAATGGATTCCATAGTCGGAGACATTGAGGTATCTAGCAGCATCAGCTTGTCACATCCCCGTTTCCATCCATCCGATCGCCCGTGACCTCAAAGAATAAGGGAAACGACTTCTGGACATTGATAGACTCTCCCGGATGTTGTCCATGAAACTGTAATAACTATAGATCAACACCTGGGAACAAAAATTACAATTTTTACATTTTTTCTCCAACTCCTATACAAATATTCATTTCTATAAAATAAAAGTGATAACTATTGTTTTTGTGTATATTTCATTATTGTCATGCATATGAACTGTTAATTGAAACATTACTGACATTTTTGTAATGGTAAGATTTGGAAAACATGCTGCTCCTTAACTTTTGGAGGACAGTGTATTGCAAAAAGGTCATTTGTTCATCAATTAAGTTTCACTTTTAGGGTAAAATTAACATTCAAATCTGCATAGTGTATCACCATGTGTTTCCTTGTAGTAGGTTTTGAATTTGATTCAAATTTGGGGCTTTTACATTCACACTGGTTGAAAAATTCACCTTTAAATATTAGCAGTGTTATAAACAGTGGAGTGTTACATACATAAAATGGCCATATATTAAAAGAGCTTTTATTGCCAAAAACATGTTATAAACTCCTCTTGTAGTTTACATTCATATTAAATTTGGCAGCTTCTTAGGCCTAAAATATATGTATCCTGCTTTCAGCATTTTCTGTGTTGTAGTGTTTTACTAAGCAAATATATTTTGTTCCACATTTTATTTTAAAATTTTCCATATTGTAATGTTATATATAAGAAAAAATCTGTGCTTGTCAGTACTGAATAAAAATTCATATTCTGTTACTTTTCATCAAAATGTCTCTTTTTGTAGGAAAAGCTTGTTTTGGAATTAGTTTTGATGCCCTGGTGGAATTGTCTGGATTCTGTGAAAATCAATTATAATGTTTCTTTCAAAGGCCTTATTCCAGATACATCAAGTTTGACAATGGTATAAAGTTTTTGTGTTTTTAGTAAAAATATGTGTGTATTTATTTTGTGATAATTTTAAAATTACATTTAAGTTGCTTTTCCATTTGTATTTGTCATTTTCTGTATTGATACACAACTGTAGTTGATTTAAAGATACTTTTAGTTGCATATAGTATGCAGCATGCTCATATAAGCATTTTAATTACTGCTTGAAAAATTTTTGTTGTTATCAGTTTCATTTTACAGTGTAAAAAAGGAAAAGTTAATAGTTAAATCTAATGTATTAAGTTGTTACCTATAAGTTGTGAGTGTGTTAATTATGATTATTCAATTATTTGAGTTATGAGGATTGAAGCAAACATTTAAAAAATGGTATAATGCTGTAATGTAGGTTAAATAAGAGAATGTCTGTTTTCATTTTAATAGCATTCCAATAATTTATATCTCTCTTTAATACTAATTCTTATAATTAAAGTGCTTTGTTTCCAAGCTCATACCCTCATGCTTTTCTAGTCTTTCATTTACAGTTAATATTCCATGTTTAATATATGTTATAACTTTTGAATTTATCAGCCAAGCTGTGATTTATGGAAAGCCATGTATTTTTCAGTGTCAAATATTTTACATGGTAGTTTTATAATGTGTAATATTTTTATCAAAATTTAACAGCTTGTGAATTTATGAAATAAAGTGCAGAATATGTTTACAGTTGGATGGGCTGAAAAAACTTCTTTAAATTTTTCTATCTCTACAACCAGGAAAAGTGGTCTGTTGCCTAGCTAAGCAAAATGGGTGAACAAATTCAAATAAAATTATATTTTATGTTCACACGTTGCACTCAAAGTTTTGAAAATTGTGAAATTTTGAAGTTTTTCATCAATTTTTGATAGTTACTAAATTCACTACTATCAAAACACTATAGGTCGTAATGTGAATTTTGGGCATGAGGCACACAGAAAAAGTTTAAAATATGTAATTTCAATTTATTTATTGTTTTTGAAAAACACTCGAGAAACACAGTTTTTTGTAAAAATAGCAATAGTTCTTACTTTTTGCTATGAACCTTTTTAAATTATGAACTATAATTATCAAATACTCTGTTGCAAAAACATATGCACCCAGAAAGAATTGAGTCACATCAACAAACGTTGCCAGTAGCACAGTGTTCAAGTAAACAAACAAATGATCAATAAGTGGGAACAAAGATGCATTTTATTTATGAGTAGTGGTACAAAGAATGTGACAATCAGTAGTTAGTAAAGCTATACTAGCTGTACAAACCAATACTCAGTTGGGCATGGATTCAATTAAGTTTCTGGTTGTGTGCCACTCGGTAACAAATGGTACGTTTGACCACTCACCTCTCCGTTTCCAGATAAGTATCTGGCAGTCATCATCATTGAGAGAACATGATTTATTGCTGAAGATCACATTTCTCCAATCAGACACTGTCCAGCTTCAGCGACAGCTGCACCATGCAAGACAGCACTGCTTACTTTTTCTTGATGTTGAACTGGTCAGGTATAAGACATCTCTGCTAAATAGCATTTTGTGCCAAACGCACCAAATCCCGTGCTTCCTAGCTCTATTTGGTTTAGGTCACCTACTTTGTTATAAAGTCTAACAGCCCTTTAATAGAGCTCAGGTGTAACTCATTAGTATTGAGAATGCCTAAAGTAGTCAACATTATCAGAAGTTAAGGTTAGTAGCCTGTTCCTCCGATAAATGTTTTTCAGGATGTCCCTTAATGAATACAGCCATCTTGACCACCCTAAGGACCTCCTTGAAGGTATAACCTTCGTCTGTCTCTTTTAGCAGTCTTCAGGGCTGTATTCTAATCCATCCTTTGAGATTACCCTTTTTTCACCTTCCTTACTACCCAAGTACCTTTGGGAATTTTCAGTTGTCTGGTTTTTTTTTTTTTTTTTTTTTCCCGTACCAGACATTCTCTTTTTGATTTTGATTTTATCTAGAGAGACAGTTATGCTTTTAATAGTTTTCTGACCTTCTCCAGTTGTTGATTGAGTAATTTGAGTAGAGGTCATTTCTACTTCACGTAGTTAAGGAATTCATTTCTGCTCCAGTTGATTTCCTCTGGATTTTTCTTGTTTTAAGAAAAAAGGCCTACCTCAAAAGCAGCATTTCTAGTTACATATTGTCATTTTAAGCCACGTTTAAACTAGAAAAGAATGCACAGGATAAAAAGATCCGCCTGGTATTATCTGTTGCTGGGTAAGTCAAAATACTGTAGAAGTTGCAAGGCATTCTAGAGGCTGCATTAAGACACTATAACCACAGTGTTATTCATCCTAGGCATGGGTCGCATAACACCAGGGTTACAAGAGGGAGTTTGTAGCTTGTTATTATGCAAAGCTATCCTGTCAGATAGTACAAGACATCAGGCTATTCACCACTTGCTGACGTGGCTGGTAAACACAAGTATATTGAAGAGCCTTTGCTTTAATACCACTCCTCACCGAGAGCATTGAGCTCACCCAGAGACAAAACCATGATACATATGTGGCTGATGCTAGAATGCATAAAGCACCCATGCTCTGTTTTTCCACATGACCAATATATTGGTATAAGTAGCTGCTTTATCACATTTCAAAAAAGGTAAAATCATTACGGCTTGGCATCTGGAAATGTCAGTTTCAGAAACAGCACATTTGGTAGCTGACTGCACATGTTGTGATTACTTATCAAAAGTGCTGCATGGATGGTGAAATAGAAAGTCACCTACCAGCAGTTTGTCAGCCATGGTGCATTGATTTCAGAGGAGAATAAAGGCTATTGCACATTGTTTGTCATGACTGAAGGGCTACGAAGCCAAAATCACCAGCAGCTACAACAGTGGCAACCTAGATGGTGTTCTCAACACACAGTGCAGTATATGCTGCTGCATATATAGGCGTACACAGATGCCTGAATTGTGTCCCTGTGCTGATGGCATGTCATCTCTGACAGTGCCTTCAGTGCAAGGACATGGGAAAATAAAAGAATGGAAAAAGTCCCTTGGCTTGATGAAGCATGTTTTCTGGTCAGTTACATTGATGGACGAATATATCAGATTCCAATTGACACTATGGCACCCGGGTGAACAGTTGGCCAGTTACAAGGCGAAGGCAGTGGTATTATGGTTAGCAATGTTTTCATGAGGACCCATCATTTCCATATAACAATCAAGGATTGTTATATAGAAGGTTATATGGAATGGTATTAATGCAATGGCTCTTTTGTTTTTTAAGACCTACCCCACCATTTCCAAATAACAATCCTTAATGTGGTTGCACTGCGTGAACATCAATGCAGGCCATGTGCGCTCCTTCATGGCAACAGTGTTCCTGGTAGGTGATGGCATTTACTAACAAGATAATGAACTATGTCATAAGTACCAAATCATCAGGTAGAGGTTCCTGGAACATTGAGAGGAATTTTAAGTCATGTCTTGGCCTACGAATTCACCTAACATTAATCCAACTGAACATTTGTGGTTTCACCTGGAAAATCAAATTTGTGTTCCATGCAATGTGCAGGAATTGTAGGAACAGTGCTTAGTGCCAGTGGTGAATGCCTAGTACCAGATACCTCAGACTATGTATTGTCAAGTCAATGCCTCCCTGGGTGTTTGAGAGAGTGGGTTGAGAGTCAATGCCTCGCTGGGTGCTTGAGAGTGAAATGTGGTCCTACTTCATATTGAACAGAAGGTCATAATGCAATGTGTCTTCAGTGTGTATGGATTACAGCCTCATTATTTCATAATCTGTTCTGGCACCCCATTTTCATTGAGATTTAGTTTGATGGCTCTCTTTTTCTGGATGTCTTAGTTTGCCTGATTGCTGATTATGCTACTTTAGGGTTTCCTTCATAGTCTATAGGAAGCCACTTCACTAAGTTTTAGTGTGATCTGGTTCTTTTGGTTGCACTTGAGTTATTCTGCTTGGTCTCGGTTTTTGCATTTTTCTTATTGTTATTATGTACTGTCAAAGTGGATTTTTCTTCCAGCTGCCAGATTTTGGTATATACCAACACACACACACAATCACACAATTTGCAGGATGGCCCATGAGTAATTTGATTGCACTGTAACTTCTAGCAGATTTGGCATGATAAGAAAATAAATGGCTTATTATGTACCATTAGCAATCATTGCCACTGATATCAGTTTTCCATTGAGTGATCAACTTGCATACTATCACTATCAAAACAGGTCTGTAATCGCAATTGAACATTTACACACGGTTCATGAGGAATAGCAGTAAACTCTTCAGCAATCACATTCTTCATGTCCTGTAAGGTGTTCATATTAAGAGAATAAAATTTATCTTTTTCAATTTTTTCCAACTGTGGGTCCTCTTAAAACTTGGTTAGCCGCTCTTCAGCAAAATGCTGGTAGCAATCAAGATCATCTTCATACATTTTTAGGATGAATCACATATTATATGGTTTCAATTACATTGCTTTGACCATTCACTGTTGTGGATGTAACCTTTCCTTGATCTCATTTGTGTTAACAGTTTTCAGTCTCCTTGCACATGGAATATCTAGTATGGTGTCATTTGCATAGAAGAGTCATTGCAATATATCACCTGTGCTATGTGTTACAAGTTAGACACATCAAAAAATGCATTTTTGCTAAACGTCATGGCAATTCAAACTGTGGTCTACTACCTATGAGCCTTTTGAATTATTGTATTGCTGCTGATACAAAGTGACTTTGATTAAAGTGAATGTTTAAATATTGTCTTTTCTGCTCACCTTGTAGTATTTTATTGTGTTGTGGCGTAATTTTTGTTTGAGTGCAGTACTAAGAACAGTGAACTCAAATGTTCATTTTTGGCATATTGTACTCTTTTATTAAAAAAAAAAAAAAGGTTAGTCTGACTACTTTTAAAATTTATGCTATGCATGGAAAAAGTGCTTTTCTGATGACACAATTCAAACATGGTTTAAGAATTTAAAGCATGGAAATTTCAACCTCGAAGATGATGTCCTACTGTGGACAATCTGTTAAAAGGAGGACCAAGATTTCTTATAAGAAAAGTAAACATGGTGGTATTAAAAAGAATCTGTCGCTGAAGCCATATAGTTCAGGAACTATCAAACAAAATCAATTTTCCAAAATTGATTTTGTTTGATAGTTTACAGTGCATGATCATTTGAAGAGGATTGGGTATGCAAGCTGCGATGATATATTGGTACTCTTTGCTTTAAGAGAGCAGAATGTGGTCACTCAAGTTTTAGCATGTGATTTTTCACTCAAAAATGTAAAGAAGAACGTTTTTTGAAATTGCTCATTACTGGAAGATACACCCATGCAGTATAATAATGTTACAAGAAAAACCTTTAGTGACCCCAAGAAGTAATTCTTTGCATGTAATAGTACTACTAGCAGTTGTATATAATGAATTGTTGCAAGGAAATTAGATAATGAGTTTCAAAAAATAGTGTTTCCAAGTGATAGCTGTAAACACAGTGTGCCCAGAACTAACCAGTCTTTCAGGTGCTTTCTTCCAGCATGATGTTCAGCCCCACATTTTGAAGAATGTCAGACAAAAATTTATTGAGTATGGCTGATGTGTTTTGTGTCACCTGCCATATTCACTAGATCTTGCCGTTTTAGATTTTCATCTCTTAAGGGCACTTTAGAATTCTCTGAATGGCCTAGACTTTATTTCTTTGGAGATTGTCAAACAGCTTGTTAGAAACTTGTTTATGAATAAACATAATGACTTTTTAAAAAAGGAATTTTGCAGCTGTCTTAGAGGTGACAAAAAGTCATAGAATAAAATGTGATTCAATGACAGTTTCTTATGCTTTTGTACTGATTCATATGTATTTATCATTAAAAAAGATGTTTCCAAATGACCTGATATATTTCCATTATTCATTTCATGCTTGATGAATGAACAATCTGATGCATCCTTCCTCTCAAAACCTGATTGGTTCTGAACAGTATCACAGTTTTTAATGCTTCATTTCTGTGTTTATTGCTCCTTTGATCTCCTCATTATGGTGGATAATTAAAAAATATCAATGTTCAAATAATATCTAACTGTCAGAGATGTAGTCTGAATACTTTGTGCAAGATGTAGCCACTGTGTGTCTGATTGCTGTATGTCACTAATATCGGAAGGAATAAGTTACACAGTTTATAATAAATTGAAACCATGGAACAGAATCACAGCAATGATATCCACAAGTATAAAAATTGCCAAGTTATGCTTATTGATAAATTTTAGTATGTGTTGCGTTCTAACATAAAAGAATCAGTGTGCGATACACTGCAGTAACAACTTAAACTTAAGTTAATATAAAGTCCAAGATCTGAAATCTTTGTGACTTGGAACAATTCTGGATTTCAGAAATTTCTGAATTTTAAATAGTAAGTTTAAACAATAAGCTGACATATAAAGATATTTTTATTATTTCTTTAAGAAAGAGGTATTTTGCATAAAGAAGAATTTTTTCTGTATCAGCAGAATGAAAATTAAAAAGCGACTTAAGCTGAATTGGAAATATTTTCTGAATTTAAAACCATATTACAGGTATCCACTGTTCTGTTACTTAACTGATGATAGAGGCATTGTCCCCACAATCATCTTCATTTAGCATTTTCTTATTATTCCAATAATCAGAAAGTTTTGCTTTTGCTTTTGATATCCAAAAGTCATCAGATTCGTGACTTCATCATGAAATTTGGTAGCTGGCTGAGCATTTAAAAAAAATATTGATGGATACAGCTTCTCTTGATTTTGCAATGTCCTGCACAACAGGTTTTATAATATTAAAGTATTTCTAGTATTCTTGGATGGTCTTACTATTGTATCGTTTTTTTAAAAGCTACTTTATATATCTGGAGCTCAGTGCAGGCAAAATTCTAATATCCATTGGCTGAATGATGAATGTTTAATTTCACGGAAAGAATAAAACAGATACAACTGTGTTAGTTGAATAAATTCCTTCAAATCTAATTCTTTCTTCCTTCTCCACTATTATACCAACAAAAGACAACCAATGTGAGAAGCATCTCACTCGAAATAAATATATCTTGAGATTTATTTGTTTAGGTCAGATGAAAATATGCTATTTTTGCAGAACCACTTGAGAACCGAAAGTGTTTTCATGGGTAGTTTCAGTACAACCTCAGTCAATGTATTGTCATTGGCCCTTAGGTCATGCTTGAAACTGAAATGCAGAAAACTCAGTTATTTGGAAGAAAATTACTTTTATGGCAGATGTACTTTTCGTAAGTATTCTCTATTTTTAGACATTGTTAGGGGGAAATTTTTTTTTTTTTAACTGGTAGTTAGTCTGCAGGCCCAGGTATTATATTTTATTGAATATTTGGTGTCCAAATTTTAGACTTCATACTTTAAAAGTTTTTTTAGTGTATGTAAAACAGGATGCTTTTTTTTCCTTCAAATTTTCTATTTTATCATATTCCATACCATCAAGTATATACTATTCTTATGTATACTGTTGTATTTTATAGCATGCAGCTGATGGTATCCATCGAGTTGAAATAACTTCTTCTCTCATACATGAAGAATTATTACCAGTAGCTTCTTTAAAATCACATGTTCTGGTTCTCAGGTAATTTTAATCTTTTAATTAAAGTATATATAACATTTCATGAATCAATCTGCAAAGTTTGGCTGTATGTTTTTCTACACTTAGTTCATATGATGATTTTTCTATGCGTGCATATGCTCATGAACTTGCATAATCTCTTTTTGTAGCTAGGGAAAAAAAAATAAATAAATAAAGCAGATTTATCAATAATATACGAAGTTAACCTATTCACATACTGTAAACTTAGAGGTTAAAAGAAAATCTCTTTATTTTTACTGCAAAAACATCAAAATCCTTTCATTTGTGCATATAATGTAGGAAACCCATTGAATGGATTGTGTCTATGCCTTAAAATTTGTTTATGTTTTAAGCATTTATAAAATTAAATTCTATTCAGTTATTCATTGCAGCATGTGTCATCTTTAAATGCTTGACTTGAAATTTGTCAGTGGATTAGTAACAGTTTTATGCACTTGCAATACATTAAAATTGTCTGTATTTTATTTTTTGGAGTTCATCGCTGTTTTTAATAACTTTTATTTATTTATGATAGTTTGCATTGTTGATTACCACCAAGCGTATTAGGGCTTCCTTCCTGAGGAGAAGGAGGCCTTTGTGGTAGACTTTCTAAGGGAAACTGGTTTGTATCCATGTAAACCATGGGGAACATAAAAACGTCCATGCAGCCGACAAGTTTGCCAGACTTTTAACACAAGTCAAATTACTAGTATTTAGCAGGTTTTAACACTTGCCAACCATATTATGATAAATATTATGAATACTAAGAGATTTGACTCATTTGAAAAACTGCAAAATTTTGTATTCAGTTTCTTACTTTTTGTTTTTAAGCAAATTCTGAGAAAAGGTTTAAATTAAAATGTAGGAAAAACAAAATTGTAAATGCAGTTCCCTAATTTATGGTGCTACTGTCTTTAAAATAAGTATTTATAATTCTGTGTGAAAATGGTACTATAACAGTTCATTGAAGTTTATTAAGTTGAATGGAATTTTCTTGGTAGCCTAAATATCAATGGTCTAACTTCTAGTAAAGGGATTTCGCACTGTTTATTCTCGATTTACTGTGACATAATTTACTGATGGAACGTTTTCTTTATTTGAAGCAAATCATTGAAATTCTGGGAAATTGTTACAGGAACCATTTGACCAAACATAGAACATTGTGAACTGAAGAATAAAAAGTATCTGGCAATGATTTGTGAGCTTTTGTGAGAAAATAGTGCATTCATAGTGTAATGAGAAGACAAAACTCTGTAAATGCCTCAAAATATACTGTTGTATTCATCAAAAGAATGCAAATGATGCTTTAGAATCAAGACTTGATCAAACAGTTAATATGTGGAGCCTGAGTGTTCAATTCAAGAAGAAAATCTTGTTTGTGGTGTAAATATTCAGTCATCTTGATTATATGTGCTGTTAATTGTAAACTGATTTTGTATAGTTTTTGTATGCATAAAAGTAACCAGTGATAAAGTATGAGTATATATTGAGTGGACAAATATACTTGTAGTGTGAAAATGTCAATCACAAGCAGTAAGAAATGAATAAAGAAACCTTGATATTTTGCTACACCCACCAGCAATTGAGTCGTAAAGTTGTTGAAAAATAATAGTTAGATCTTTGTTAGATTCCAGATAAATGAGGTGGCGCCTACATGGGCATTTTTGTGGTTTTCCTCAGGTGTAGCATAGATATCAGCTGGTTCCCCATAGTAAGCTCTCCTCAAAACCATTGTTCCTGTTAGGCAAATAGCCATCGCATAATCATATAAACAAAACCTTAATTTTCATCTAGCGTTAACTTTCTGAACAGCGTGACAGACTTTATCCGATCATGAGATTTTTTGGTCACTTGATATATATTAGCTTGTAATAAACTATTTTGCTTTCTTACTTCTTTTAATAATGTAAATGAGATCTTAATGAATGTAAGTTTATGAAAATAGAGACTAAAATAAGTAAATATACAAATTTAGCTAATAATTGCTGTTTAAATGCAGGTCTTCATGATAGATCCCAAAACTCACATCACTAGAGGGTTAATTTTCTGTGCAGTGAGAGAAGTTAATGAAACTCAAAATTTATGCTTTGTATAAACTGCAAAACTATTGGTGGAAACTCGAGCATTGAGCTAGCTGAGAAGTGTAAAATGTCATTCTCATTAATTAAAGACCTAGGAAAGCATAACATGTTGGAGAATTAGGTGTGTTCTTTTGCATATTTTCAAGATGTTTTTGAAAAGCAAGATTAGAATTGCAGATGAATTAAATTTTTACACAGCCAAGTGATAAATAAATGCTTTTTTTTTTTATTTTTCCTTAAAAATTCCTGTATTTATGTATTTATGAAATAAAAGCATTATCAAATAAAATTTTGCTATGTGTAAATACTGCTCAGAAGTTGCACATTTTCTTAAAATTTAAAAAAAAAAAAAGTGCTCTTTATTGATCATTTTATGTTGCATCAATGTGCAGAGCTATGCTAGCAATATAAAAGTCATATTCGAACCTTAATTAGATCTCAAAATTGCCCCTTCTGAATTATTTTTTTTATCTTCATTTCATACTTTATTACATTATTTTAAATATTTCCTGCTTCATTTTTTTACCCACCTTTATTTTTATCTCAGCTTTGCCAGTGCATTTGATAGTGAATAGTTTTAGAGAACATATGCATACTCACACAGGAGAAAACCTCATGGATGTGATTTTTGTGAGAAGTCATTCATAGAAAAGCAGGACTTATTTCATTTAGTATTTTTCCTTGAAGTTACCAGCCACCTCAATGATTTAAATTTGAAACTCTGGGGCCAGAATAAATTGTTTCCTATCATGCCATTTGGTACTAGGGTAGCATTCAAAATGAAATTTTAACTATTCATGTTCCACTTACAGAATGTCAATTTCTTTATATAGAGGAACATAGTGAATCTCTTGAACATAATGAGAACTTTAGAGAATATACTAAGAAGATCAGATTATTGATCATTTAACTCTTGCTTTGGAATTTTGCTAAAGGAGACTGCATATTTGTATTTCTAAGTCCTTTTCACTTACTGAGGTAGAAATCTTGATGCTTTGTCGATGATTCTGGTAAGTAGTTAGAATCGTGATGATTTCCTGAAACAAACAAGTGGATCTTATTGATCTTAAAGCCAATTGTTTAACCCTCTGAGTGGCCTGGGTTTTTGGATCTGCTCATGAAGAACTGTATTGAAGCCACTTTTAATAGTTAAATTTGTATAATTTGTTATTTTAATCTCTGTTGTAGTAAACTTCCATTCATTAAAATAATATTTACATCATTAAAGAAAGTAAGAAAGCAAAATATTTTAAATTATAAACTAATATATACTGAGAGACAAACAAATCTCATAACTGTATGAAGGCTAGCCTTCATACAGTCATGAGGGTTTATGCGAAATTTAGTGGTCACTCCCATATCTTCCTATATAATTAACTTCTGATATTTGTTGCCATTTAAACATTTTGCTGAAGTGAGAAAAGTTGCTGAAGAGTTTTATCTGTTGTTTTGGAGCAATAAATCGTAGCATTTTCATTAATGGAAATCATTAAAAGTAAATTAGCTATGACTGACAATCAAATGTGGAAAACACTTTGAGGCTTTCTGTAAATGATTTAATGCCAAACATTACAATCTTAATGAAAGTAAAGCAGTTTCAAAATTCTCATTAAAGTAACTAGAAGAAGGTGGTCTCATTACATGCAGTATAAACTGCTTCATTTTCATTCCACTATTAGTATTATAAGGTATTTCTCCCACCTACTTGGCATGCTTTGGTGGTGTAGTGGTTCTGCACGCTGGGCCGGGATTCCAGAGGTCCGTGGTTCAATTCCGGCGAAAGCGTTGCTCATTTTTCATCTTGCATGCTTCCAAATCATTTAATGTCTACAGTAGCTCCCGAACTAAAAGGGTGTTGGATGAGTATTCTCCACACCCAGAATTTGGCAATTGGGTCCCCTAAAAAACCCAGTCGCCCTTTAAAAGAGGGAGTATATAAGGTTATTTCTCCCACCTTCTTGGCATGCCTTTGTGGTGTAGTGGTTCTGCATGCTGGGCCGGTATTCCAGAGGTCCGTGGTTCCATTCCCAGTGAAGGTGTTGCTCATTTTTCATCTTGCCTGCTTTCAAAATACCTAATGTCTGTACAGTATAATTACGTATTTGAATGGTTCAATCCATCATGTAGCTGAAATATAGTAAACATATGTTGTTAATGCTGAGTGCTTGTAATTATGAATAAGTATTTCTCCTTATTAAAATAATCAAATTTATTTTTTGATTGGGTATTGGAAGAAAGATTTTTATTTCAGATTTCTGTTCTTAAATTGGAATCTGAAGAATTATAATTTTGTTTATTATATATTTTTGTCAAAGTTTAAAACAAATAATCTATTTTTATTATTAGGCCTTCTGAATACCGAATTAATCCCTTAAAAGCAAGAGATGTTATTCCAAAGGGACGTCAAGTTTATGAAATACAACTTACTTATTTATTTAATATTGTAAGTATTAATTTTTTTAAACAAGATGGTGCTTTGCCTAATAAACACTAGTATCTCATCTAGTAAGCATTGTACATATGGCATCTCATATAATGAAGACCATTCTGGCATTGAATTTTAGGAATTATTGGAATGAGTTTTATTTGTTTCCAAGCTTGTGCTAGAATTGTCAGACATCATAGAAAAAAGTTCAGATAGCATTAATAACTCTTTGAATTTTCTGTCATTGTTGAAAAAGCTAAGAATTTATACTAATGTATAAAAATTTTTTATACATTTATATATATAAATATTTTTATTATTTATATATCTTTATATATATTTATTATTATATATATTTTGACTATCTCAGATTTTTAAATTCATTTTAATCTGAGTCTTGCCATTCTCCCACTGAAGGCCACTTCCTTTTCTTCCATTGACTCCCCATTCAGCTATCTTTGATTTTCCATAATGTCCATCTTTGATTTTTTAAGGGGTCTAGGTTTCGAGAAGTTGTCTAAAATAGTTTCATTTTTTTTTTTTTTTTTCAGGATAGTTCTGAAGAAAAATGGATAAAGTAATGCATGCCATCATAATTAAATATATTTGCTTCTCTGTTCATTTTACCTCCATTGGAATGCCAGTGGTTAGCTGCAACTTGGATGCTTCCCATTTCTCCAGGAAATCCTTGACTGTTGTAGAATAGCCTTCTTAAGTTCTCCTTCTTCCTGTCATATGAAATTTCTATCTGTAGCTGTTCCTGCTAAAAGGAGGTTTGCAATTCTTCAACTATTAACAAATCTTATTATTCTTTTAAAAGCTTATCCAAATCCTGGTCCATTATTGTGGAAGCAATCTTTGCCATTACACTGTCATGATAACCATGGATGTGGGCAGGCCAGTCTCCAGCAAGCTGAACTGAGGCTTTTCCGAGTTACCTCAAAATATGTTAACACATCAGTGCCTTGTGTATTATGCCTTCTGAACCTTCGACAATATTGAATTATTCCTACCAGAATTCTCTTCTTTTTATGTCTGTTGAAAATTGAAAAACTTCAAAACCTCTTCTGAAGTGTGTTGTGTAGAATTTCTTGAAATTATCAATTACCTGTCTGTGTTCGCTGAAGCAAGAAATTGTGATGGGGCATTGGTGCTTCAAACACCAATCTTTCTAGATATCTCTTAGGGAAAGGAGACAAAATCACTCCAAAAATTTATTGAGTAACCCGAACTTATTTGTTCTTTCTCCACAAGAAAGGTAGGCTTGATTTAATAACATTATGCTTTTTTAAAGCTTTAGAGTTTTGAGAATGATAAACTAATAGTAATTTTAGGTTCAGATCTCTATTTGCATCAGCTGCAAAGAGGAGTATTAGTCTCTTGTGGTTGAGATATGAATGCAAACATTTTATCATTCTTGTTCTGCAGATTCTCATGCTTATCTTTTCCTGAACATCAGCTTTGTTACAATTAAAAGAGTTATTGCTGGCAGTATTCTTTCCGAAGAAATTTCTAGGTCTTTTGAGCAAATTTTTAAACCACTAGCATAGCAGCCCTAGCAACTTTCCTGTGTATTGATAATGTGAATGCCATTCCTTGTCTCAAACCAAAACTTGCCATACCAACTTTTAGACTATCATCTATCTACTTTTGAAGCGTGTAAGCTTCTTTTCAGAATGTATGATTTAAATTCTTCATAAATGACCTAATTTCCTTAAAAATTGCTTTCTATATAGCTTGATATTTGTTTTCATTTGCCCTTCATCAATTCAAAATAACAAGAATTTTTTTCATTTTTCTGTAACTGGTTTTGTTCACATTTTGTGAACAACTTTTTGCTTTCTTATTTTCTGTTAATACTGTGCTGGCTAAAATTGTTCCTATGGCTGACTTGTTTACTTCTTACACAGATACTATATCTGCAGTTGTAGCTTCTAAAAGCTTCATTTTCACTAATGCAGTTTGTGTGCATTGCTTTGTTGGGGGAATTGTATTCTTAATCTACAACCATTCCTGTTATTGTCGTGAATCTGCATTTATGTAAGTTTGGAGATCATCTGCATTTACTGTCTCCAGATATCCCTGTATTTAACTTAGATTATTTAACAGGGTATTCTTTAGATATTTGTGTTAAACCTTTCTCTAACTTTTATCCTGCTTGTGAATTGTGAAATTAGTGGTAAAGCAGGTTAGAAAATTTTAGATTTGTAAGCTTTTAATGGACATTATTAATCTCTGTGGGCATTTAAAAGCTTATTTGTAAAGTTACTTTAAAAATTTTCTCTGTGTTTCTGGTAGTTTTAAATATTTGTGAATATATAATTGAAACATTCTATCAATGTGAAACAAACAAAATGTCTATCATTTCAGTAGTTTAAGACTTGTTGGTACTTTAAAAATATATAGGAGTTGCAACAAGAACATAATAACTCCACAGAATTTGCTGTGCTTTTGAGTATGTTCAGTTGTCTGGATCATGATATTGTATATTAAAAAAATAAGCTATATTTAACTTGCAGACGACAACCTAATTTTCATATAAGTTAGAATATCTAACAGAAAATTTTAGCATATAGTACTTCAGAATTATACCATAATTTTGAGTTTTCCTATGTCATAGTTAGGTATATCATTAGAAGTTTCGTTTGATGTATTTTGAAATTCATAATTCCTTTCTTTTGCATAAAAATATTTTTTTGTAATGTTCTGTAAGACATTGTTCGTAATAATTTTTCACTGATGTTTTTGTGGTGATTTAAAAAAAACCCTTATCTATAATATAAATAAAAGATTCCAACATCATTGCACATATGATGGGCAGTTAGAAATTTTTTAGAATTTTGTACTAACTCTTTATCCTCACACAAATACTCAATTTACTATTTTATTAGCACTATATTTATTTACTAACAGAATTCATAACAGGCAGTGTATGTGGTGATCAGTTAGTGCAATATTGAAGTTCGAGCAAAGGGCAAACACCAAGTTCATCCAGATCAGGGAAATCTGCTTCAGAGACATTGCAAACAATTTTCAGTGAAGATTGTCTGAGGAAAACAGCCCTTTACGAGTGTTTTTTGAAGATTTCGGAGTGGATAGGAATCATTGGAAGACAAGAGCTGCAGTGGAAGACCTTCAACCTTCAGAAACGGAAGGTATGGTCAAGCAAGTAAAACAGTTAACCCTATCAGACCGAAGAATGACCATTGACGAATCAGCACAGGAAGTGGGGATCTTTCATGGAGCCATTTATGCAATCCTGTCAGATGATTTAAAGATGGAACATGTCAGTGCAATGTCCCGTGGCTGCTGAACCTGTTCTCATAGTCATCATAACCAACATGATGGCTGAACTTTGGAAGTTAAGTTACCACAGCAGGATTTTCATCTTTGCTTCCAGCAATGGCAGGAGTGGTGGAGCAAGTGCGTGCATTCTGAAGGAGCCTATTTGCAGTCATTTAACTAAATATGTGCCTATATTGTGGTTATAAAGAGTTACAACAAAATTACAGCAACTTCTTGACTGCCTCATGTATATGTACTTTCATATAACAGTAAAAGAAAAGCAGATAATATGCTTTAAATTTCTGTTATAAGTATAAAAATGTTAATAAATTCTTACAGGTAAAATTAAAATAGATTACTAAAACTATAAACATAAGTGAATTATTAGACAATAGCATACATCAGTGGGAACACAGAATAGAAGAAGTTGTGAATAAAAGATAGAAAAAAATTAGCTTGGAATCTGAACTCATGACCCTAACCTCTACCCACACTATTAATTTTTTCTCCATGCTACTGACACATAACATACAAGATATTTAAATTTGGTTTGCTTAGATGACTAAATAAATAAATTTTAAAACGAAAGGTTTTAGTCTCTTGTTTTAAATGGGTCATCACCTAAAAAAATTAATTAAAATTTTTTATTGTTCATTTTTAGTCCATATTGAAGTTGGTTTAAGAATTCTTAAAAAAAATTATTTATAAACGTGTGCAAACTAAAAAGTTACTTTGTTTAATGAAATAAAAGTATATAAAAAGCTATTGAATTAAATTTCTAAAACATGAATTTTTTGCCTGCTGCAAAAAAATCTGCTAATGGTAGACTAGTTTAAGATGGTGAGAAGGTACTCCCTCCTCCTTTAAAAGTGAAAGTAAATGCAGAACTGCAACTGAAAAACACTTGTCAGGCCGAATTTTGCTAATTCATGAATGTGAATTTTGATTTTTATGTCGGTATTTTTTAACTATGATCACTTTCTATATGAGCTAACATTTTAAATACAGTTGCCTTTTTTTAAAATATATTCAATTGACTACTGCCTTCTTCAATACACAAACCTCTTGATATAAATTTTGTATTTCTGAATTTCTAGAACAGGTAATTTTTAGAAATGTATCCATTCCTTGAAGCATATTTTTGTTGCCATTATTTCTTGTTGATATCTGTTCCCTAATATCTGATATCCTTTTTCACCACATCATTCCTATGCTTCCACATGTATACAGATAGAAGTTAAACACAGTTCTACCTTCTATGGTCCATCTTCTTTCACCGCATCACAGATGTCAATCAAAATTTATTCATTTGCTCATTGGGAAACCACATATGGAATGCATTCAACTTCACTAATGGAAATGGGGATTAAATCTTTCATTTGCTGTAATTTCTGGCTTTATTTCAGTAATAAGTGCTTTTCTTTAGTTATCATTAAGTCTTCATAAGTGCTTTATGACAGCCCCCTCAGAACTTGAAAAGGCATTGTAATATAGATTTCAAATGTGAAGCACAACTAACAGACTTTTCTGTACCCCTTTATGAGCACTTTGGTTCATGTGTTAGATTTCAAAACTCTGATAATAGTATGTGCTTCAAACTTGTTTCAAGTACATTTGTTTGTTAATTGTGGTTTTGGCAGGTAAGATTTTTTTTCCCCAGTTGAGTAGGAGGGAGCAGTATTTATGTAATAGTTCCTTTTGTAATGTTGCCACTTTTGTTTTTCATTCAATGA